TTGGGATCCCTTAAAGCCTTGAAGTTTTTCACAGAATCTATGGTATATAAGATGATAAAAGAAATGTGCATCTAAAATCCTGGCCAAACACCGTTTTAGTTGTGTAAATAGTGTGTTGAATTCCTGTCATCATGTCAGTGATCCCAGGCTGAGGCAGCGGTGCAGACAAGATTCATCTCATATGCATGAATAAAAGTGATGGATTCTAAATGACGAATAGAAGCGATCCTTGCACACTGTGACATTTACCTTAATTGCCAGCTCAGTGCCAGAATTATCAACACTTGTTTTTAAATTGCTTTTTAATTGAACCTAAACTGCCCCTTAAAGGCTTGTGACTCTCATGAACCATGTGATTCTTTTTTTCTGAGATCTGAGACACAAGTTAGTCTGAAAGTGCAGTTCTGCTAAAAATCACAGAATGTCTTTACCTCCGTTCCTCATTTTTAGAGAGACTTGGAGTTGTTCTGTAAGTTTTTGTATGGTCTGACACCACGGTCCTGTTAACAGGAGATTGAAATTGATGGGAAAAGGTATCTAGGGTCTGCTCTTGATTTCATCATACACTTCATAACTAACTTCTCTATGTTTTTCTTCCTTTCTCCCTTATTGTCTACTTAGATTGTAAGCAAATTTGAAGATCGGCTATTTTTCTGTGTTTATGAGGCACCTGTACAAAGATTAATGCTATGGTTTCAGATATTTTTTTTTCAATTTTCCCAAATTTACCTTGCACAGTATACTCTCCATTTCCTCCACTAGGAAAGAACAAACAGGATTCCTTTTCCAGGCACAAACTTAAGCTTTATTTTCACTATTGAAAGCATGGTAGCTTTGTTTATTTTGTTCCTAACGTGATACCTACCATAAGGTAGTCATTTAGATGCACCATTTCTTTGCTCTGATGATGTAAACTTTAGACTACTGTGTCCTATGAAACGCCGCCAAAACAATGTGTTGAAATCAGTTAACCCGCTCAGAATTTTATGAAATGTGTGTTTCCTTAAATTGGCTTTAAAGCAGTTTTTCATTCGTTATGTTGCCTAACCCCCTGCTTTCCAGAGCTTCATGCTGCTTTGTTGTGTGGTGTTTTAAAAAAGAACAAAATGAGCATTTCTATAGCAGAAAAGGGTTTATCTGTCTAAATTCTTCCAGCATTACAAATATAAACAAGAGGCATGAAAAGTATAATTCCCCAGATAAAATTATAACAAATCATTATAAATCATTATATTCCTCTAATTATCCTGTGAGAAAAAGAGGAACGGAAGACCTTGAAAATAGTTATTCCTTGTCTTTAACTCCTTCATTGTTTTTACCCATGTCATTTGTATTATTGAGAAACTTCTTTATGAAATGATATACTCTTCAAATACAGATTTACTTATGGTGCAATTGTGTGTTTAGGATTAAACAGAATGCAATTTTATAATCTCTCTCTAACTTTTTTTTTCCTAAATTAGAAATAGCTCCATTTTACTTCAGTACGAAGCCATATTTCTAAGACAACTGCTGATTTTTTTTCCGAACATCGTAGAAGCACAATTACATTTTTCCATAATCATAAGAATTTTTCTCAAAGTTATGAATAAACTATGCCAAAAGACCAATACATTTGTGCACAATATCTTGGAAAAAAAAAAAAAAAAGGCCCTCCATGGTAAATTAAATGATATCTGTACCTGAACACAGGCCCTGAAATGTCATAACCTATGCCATTAACTTGTTGAAGTAGAAGCGTGCTAGCCAGGCCTCACCAAATGTACTAAAACGAACATACAATTCCATGGCACGTTTCAAGAGTTAGAACAAAGGAGGGAGTTTAGTAATAGGCAACTTGGATGCCACCATCCTATATTGGAAGCTCCAAAAATTTAATAGCATAGGCATGGCTAAATTGTGTCAATTGTCCTCTGACCTAGTGAATGGACTTTGTATCACTTATTTCTCACTTACAGTTATTTTTAAGTGCCAATATATGGTTCTTTTTGTTATTTCTCCCTACAAAGACACTTACCTAAGGTACCTGCCTTCCATCTGAGTCTTTTTTCAGAAAACTTAAATAGATCCCACTCCTTAAGGTTCATTATAAGGCATTTTCTCAGACCTTGAGTTATTTCATTCTTTTTCTGTTGTCCCTCCTATTTTTTATTTTTATTACTTTTCTTAACAAAGACAAAAGGATTTATCATAAGCTTTACCAATACTATAGAGAAAGGAAATACTAAACTTCCAAGCTCCTAACCACATTTATATTGAATAATTGCTCATGGTATAATAAGAGATCATAATGACTGAGTGATGCATTAGGAGTTCAGGTTGACTTATTGCTTCTCTATGGTCCTAGAGTTGTTCATTTAGAGTTACTTTCATCTAGGATAAGCCCACGATTTTGGAGATACAGCCTTATCTCACACAAGTGAGCATGCTCTAGATCACCCTCTGCCTCACTTTTAAGTATCAGTTTACTCATCTTTGTGATATCCTCATATTTATCAGCAAAGACTGAATTTTAGTTTGAAGTGAATGAAAACACTGAATAGTATCAGGCCTAGAAGTAAATTACTTTGGATTTGCTTCAGAAAGATCCTGTTCACTGTTAACGCCTACTGTTTGGATGCCTTTGTTAGCCAGTTCTCGGTGGATTTACCATGTACTACATCAGTTTGGACAGTCCTAACTTTTTTTCAGATCATGTACTATTTACTTCAGCATCTTATACAAGTAATATTTCATTACATCTCCACAGTCAACTAATCTCCCTTTATCACCTTTGTAATTCAAGGAAAAAATTAGTTTGAGAGGAACATTTAAAAAGTTGACAAACAAATTCTATTCCCATGACCTACGTTCTTTACACATATCTATACCCCATACGAACTTCATTATTTCCCTGAGACTGATGTCATTCTAAATAATGTGAAGCTACCCAGTTGCCCATCTGTTCTATCCTTTAAAATGTCCCCAATAGTCAAAGATTTATTAAAAAATGACATTACTTGCCTAGAGAAATGTTAGGTCAATTTTTTTTTTAGAGTCTAAATCATTCGGGCTGAATTAAAAATGTTTTCAGAAATGAATTTAACATTCTCTTTAGACAGTAATGAATAAGAAAATACTCCAGCAGGCTCATATGGTAGTATTGCATCAGCACTCGATGTCTTTTAAGCAGAGAGGCTGTAAATTTACCTGAAATTATGAGCTATATTCAAAAATTGTTGATTGACATTCTTTGGCTTATGTTACACATGAGATCAAAGCAGATGACTTTATTGGCCCTTTCTGTCCATAAAATCAACAGTATAATTGCAGGATCTTAGGTTAACTCACTGTCGGTGACGGTTTACTGTCATTTGTTAACTCACTACAAAATTTTTTAAATTGGGTAATGAACTGCTTGTACTGATTTGAAAAGGAATTGAAAAACAGTTGGAAGACAGACTTTGTCATGAAAATGCACTGGATGTAAACCCGCATTTATTTCTCTTCATAAATTTTAATATAAAACTACACTACAGAAGGGGAACATGAAGTCTAAGTAGGCTGAGGTTAGTTAGGCCGCTGTAATCAATCAGACAAATGCTTCTGATTTAAAAATATACCAATGCTCTTCAAAACTGTTTATATGACATTTTCCTATGAACCTTAACATCTTCATAATTTCTATACTAAATTACAATTTATTGCAAGTTTCTTACTCTACTGGTTTACATTAATTTTCTTAATAATCAGAGACATTATAAAAATATGTCTTTAGAAAAATGTTGTGGTAAATTACACATTTATTTTGAGATTACCTATTTTTAAATGCTGGAATAAAGTATTATATACCCATGCAGAAAGATATGTATAACAGAAAGCAGTAGTCTAGAGTTACTGTCTTTCATAAATAGAATTAATATTATTTGATCTGGTGCCAGGAAATGTGGGCATGCATATTCTAGCAACATTCTAGTAGTAATCACAAGATTAGAAATATCACAGCTGAGGAGGTAGATTTTAAAAACAGCAAGAGGAAGCCAGATAATCGGTATTCACGCTGATAACAGGAATCTGAATGAAGTTTTACTCTCATGTGAATTAGGTGCCTTTCAGAACTGCTGTTTGTTTGGCTTTAATAGCTTTCTCGGGAGGCCAGAAGCAGTCTCTTTGTAATCCATTATTGCTTAACATTTTAAAGGTTTCTTCCCTTATCTTGCCAGCACCAAAGAGCAAAAATATCTAGAAGAAGACTTGCTGTGAACCTAATGACATTTGGATGACGATGATGAGTTGCGATAAACTACCTGTCCAGATAGTGATCACCATCTAGAGATGTTGGGCAGCAGCAGGGTGGAGAGTTTGTCGTTAACAACTCTTGGATATTCAAGTCAGCTCATCTTCTAAACACCTTTGAGAACCGATGCCTGAAGAATAGCCTTAGTGAAGATATTCTTGTCCATCATCAGTATTTCCATTTAATGTTGTGTTGAGACTCAAACAGCAGACCAGAGTTATGTTAGCCTTCTACACTGCATAGATAGAAGTCCTACCCTTGAAATCTTCACCAGACCTGCTGAGCCAGGAATCCAAGAGTCCTCACCAATAACGCTGGCGGTCTCTTTTCAGCATGATCATGCAGCCTGTAGCTCAGCTTTGAGGACATGTGAATGAAAAAGCCCTGCTGGCATGCAGACCCCAGTGAAGTGGGAAGGCAGCAGTTCTCTGCCAGGTATACCGCAGGGCTCTCCCGAAATGCTATGCTTCGGGAAAAATTTAACAGCTCTCTCAGGAACCTGGAAGCAACCGTTATTCTCAGTTATTTTTTACTATTTATGGTAAAGTGTTTCCTTTAGGACTGACAAAAAGATTAGGTTCTGTTAGGTATTCCTGATAAGGCTAAACAGAGGAAAAGATGGCCTATAAGCACATAGACCTTAACAATTAAAATAACAGGAAAGGATGAACAATGTAGCAGGTGTGATGCAGAAAAAGAAGTAACTCTCTAGTTAGTGCTTTACCTTGTGAAAAATGTACAAATCATGTCACGAGGAATAAACTGGATACCACAGTGAAGAAGGTGAAAGCTGCTGGGAAAAAAATCAAGTTATTACAGAATGAACACAGAATACTGGCAATTAATACAATAAGGCACCCGTTTAAAAAAAAAAACAGAGTTTACAGAGGAAAAGAATACACAAGTCATTCAAGCTGTACAGAGCCAGAGTGCCAACAAAAATTTAGTAACTGAGACAGGGAAAGGAAAAATCAAACTGCGGCTGGAGGAACTGGAGATGTGCATTGACAGCACAACTGAGAGTAGACAGATCTAAAGATGGCTATTTCTTGCTTTCTCTGTGAGGTCATGCAAGGACACTGTTAAGAAAATGAAAGCAAGCAAATTCTTTAAGAAAAATAGAAACATCACAAAACCACCAACAACCCAGTCTATTGATTATAATCTTGAAACCCTAAAGCTCACTAAAAATCATAGAAAAAAAAATCTAAATCCTACTGAAGATAAAACTGAACTATTCTGAAAACAACCATGCAGCATCTTACTAAAAAATTCTCCTTTTTCCTTTTTTTTCTCCCTCTCAAGGACAAAAGGCAGCTTCTCATCAAAACAGTAAATGAAGAAACTTTCCCCTCCCCATTTTTGTAAAAATATTTGGGCAAGACAGCAGTGTGGCATTAATCACAGGAGATATTATTTCTGCAGTAATGAAGGAAAATCGGATCTTCTTAGGCAGTCAACATGGCCAAGGGAAATGTGAATGTTTGTCTATGATTTCTGCAGGCACTTCCGGCTTGTGACTGTATAGTATTGCTCTGTACTATTCCCTTTCAAAAAATTCTCCTATCAATCAGATATTCATCCAGACAAAGAGAGGGATGAAAGTTAATTATGAAATTCCCAGTGGCATCTAGCTATAAAATTTCTTTCAAATCATATCCTACATGTCTGTTAACTACCTTTGCCTCTATCTACTTCTATGTATGTATCTGCTATCTTGGAGTTTCATGAGCACCTCACTCACAATATCTTGGACAATAATCACATGATTATAAAGAAAGAGTTCTACATATATTGTTACTTATTAATCTAGGCTATCCATATTTAAATATTTCTATATCAATTGAAATAGTGTAGATACAGGAAAACAGCTTAAAGTAAAGTACTTATATATCCTGTGCACTGAAGCCTATGGCAAAACTGAATTTTGATCATAAACTGGGTTAAATAGTAAACAGAGGAAATCCAATCTGTCATTTTAGTAGACCTTCTTGTCAATAAATATTATAGTAATGCCCAGGAAGGCTGCAGCATAATTCCCATCTGATACAAAGATTTTTTGAGATATATCTGACTGCACATGACACTTCACAGAAAAGCAGCAAGTAGCGGAGTAACATTTCAGTCCTTTGCAGGTTTTTAAGTAGAAGACAACAAACAGAACAAAGAATGCTCATAAACTGTATTGCTTCGTACGGCTAGTAACACTGTGAATATTCCATTCCAGCATTCTGCTTTTGTCACTCTCAGCGCGCTAATGAGGCAGATGTTGAAAATAAATATTGTCTTTGACTGGATATTGTAACGGCAATATTGCAGCCATTTGTAAGACTTATTTTCAGGAGAAATGAAAAATAGAAATCTACTTACCACCTGTGCAATGCCCCGACTCCAGCATTTCAATGTATGTAACAGTTTAAACTCTAATTACAGTGGGAATGCTCAGTTTGGATGAGAATGCAGCATAACAAAGCAAAAAGACATCACTGGCAGTTTAAGTTCTCTGAGTTAATTAATGCCTTCGGCTCCACGTGGATGTCGGGCAAGGAACATGACAGGAACACTTGTGAGAACTGTGTTGAATCTCTGCTGCAAGCTAAGAGACAATGGAAAAAGAGTTTACAGATAGGAACATACAGCAGACACATCACCTCCTTATATACTTACAGGGTCATTTAAAAAGTAAATCAGAGTACACTAGACCCGGAAGGGATTCTGGGAGGATTGGTTTATGACATGAATGATATCACCATGGCATAAACCACCTGTGAAGGAATCTGTTTGAATGCAGTGTTTAAGCTCAGAAAAGCTGGCAGGTTATCGGCGTGCGTCTAGCAGTTTAGCCAGGAATCAGAGCATATGTTTTCAGGAGAAATGGCCAAATCTGACAGCCTGACAGAGGCGAGGCTGCCACAGCTCCATGTCCCAGGTCCCACCAGCTCCAAGGCTGAGCATGCAGACACACGCACAAACACACATATACAGCACATGTATACTGTCCAGCCACACAGATCTGCACAGACATACACAGCCCTCACACAAACACAGCGCCAACAGCCTCATTCTGTTCCCTGCCGTGGCTGACCAGAAGGAAGATCCATCAGTGGGGTGTGCACACACACACACACATGCACACACACACACACGCACATACATAAACATATGTACAATGTCAAGCCATCCAGCAGCTGGGCTCAGACACTCAGTCCTTGCTGTAGCTGTCCATGGATCCCCGGTCTCCCCAATTGCTGGCACCTGGACATACAAGACTCCAAGGTCCGCGGCCCCACTCTAGTTGCTGGTACAAACCCCCTCACACACAACACACACACACGCCTGATTCCAAGGTCACTTCGCTCACCAACCAGCTTATTTGGCTCCACATTCTCTAGTGATCACGCACTTACTTGCACGCCCTTGCTCCAGTTGCTGGTACCCCAGACACCCCCTTGTACCCCTTGGGCCCCATGATTCATGGTCCCACTCCAATTGCTAGCACTCAGACGCACACACGCATATGCACGCAGAATAGAGTTCCTCACTGAGAAAAATAGTTAGAAATGGAGTTTAATAGGACAGGACAGACTGCGCTGATCAGGTGCAGAGCATGGCTGGGAACTGTACTCATCACCAACCTATTTACACATAACTGGCCCTTATTCTTCTATTTTCCCACGTTTGTTCCTCCTCAAGTCATCTAGATACCTCCTTTTCTCCACCTTTGGTTCTTCCTCCAAAGATCCCATAATAAGTCCCACACAATCCTGAAACATTCTTCCACTGCATCCCACAATGTGTCCCATACCCCTAGTCAGTAACCCCACTCAGTCCAGGAGGGTGCTTGGAAGAGCCACCCCAACGGACTCATCTCAAGGGGTTTTACCTCCTGACCATGGGGCTTTACTTCCCCTGGGACAGCACTAAGAGGGGCTGCGCAAGGGCCCATTTCTCTGACTGGGTTTTTGGCATCCCTCCGCCTCTGGTTGATTCAAATCCTCTGAAACTAAGGACCTTCTTTTCCAGAGCTTTAGAACAGTGTCTATATTGTTCTATTTATATTCTTACATGGCCCTTATCACCATAGCAGCTGACTACCTTTCAAGCTCCTGTTATATGATACAACCAGCTTTCTTCAGTTAAAATGTTCTTACACAATTTTTCTACTTGGAAGAAATGGAAGAGGGTTATTTTTAAGCTATTTAAAAATATCTGCTTTGTGTACTTATTATTAGTCAAAGAAGTACCTCTCGCACAGGAGAAATGATGCTTTGAAGCAATTCTTCATTCCAGTGGAAGCTTATTGCATAACTGAAGACCATAACAAAACCCAGGGCCTAAGTAAATACCTGCTCCATAAACTTGGAATTAGTTTGGGTATAGGCTGCAGAACTTGCATTTTACCATTTCCCGAAACGAATCCACTATCAAAGACCAAACTGTTGGTGTCTACGGAGAACTGTGGGCTGTTTGTTGACAGAGGTCGTGGAAATCCTGGGGAAAAGAACTGAATTCATGTTCTAGGGAAGTCAAAAGATTTGAACTATGAATTGCAGTCACATTGAGGAATCATCTCTACAAGAAAATCAAGGGGAAAACCATCATAAATATATTCTAAAATTAGGGTACTTATGCTAAAGTGTGATGTTTGCTTTATATCTTAGCAGCAACAATGTGAGCAAATCTGCATAAGGTACATCAGCGAATTTGTTATGTTTTTTTTTTTTGAAAGCTATTCATGGCATGCTAAGTGCTACTTCAGTTTTGCTTGCAGCATATATTTGTGTTACTCAGAAATTATATGGTGCTATCTCTCTGAAATTTGACTGAGAATTATCAACGTCTATTTATCAAGATTTTATACAAAGGTTTAGTGGGTTAAAACCCCAAGGTTTAGTGCTGTGTGAGACTTTAGAGAAAGACATAACTTTGGTCTGTGTTTCTGCAGAAAGTCTAGAATACAAGAAATGATTTTCTCTCAATGTCTCTCTGCCAGAAAACCAGTTCTAAAAATGTATAGAAAGATGAGGTCCCATTTATCATGTATTTCTAAATGAGTGCAAACATAGTAGAGCTACAGCAAATACTCATCAACAGAAAAAGTTTCCCAAAACAAGCTCTTTTCCAATCACTCAGCTTGTCTTGAGCAAACCAGTCTGCAAACCAATTTCACCATCACAAACAGATGCTGTTATCAGGAGGCTAAGCAAGAGAATTTATAAATATAAATAAGCTGGCCTGGAAGAAATCAGGAGAGATAGCAACAAGTTGCAAGAGCTGAGCACTTCTTTGATAGATTGAAAAAGCATTGAAAAAAAGTCTCTGCTACTGGTTAATCTAGTATTACTGTGTCCAAATCTTGAAGAACAGAGGTTGGAAGATATTTTTAGACATTGACCCGATCCCATATAATCGTCATGTCAGTGGCACATATAGCCACCAGCATCTAAAATACAAGAGAAAGTCTCAAATATTGCTGAACACACTCTTCCAAAATCCATGCTTCCCCTCTCTTCCATACCAGCTGATGAAGTCAGGTCTGCGTAGGGGAACATATCCGTCAAGAGTGATGGCACTGCCTACCGGAGCATTGGCTAGTAGCCACTATTAGAGTCAATCTCTGCTGAGAAGGCATTGCTGTTCCAGGCTGCTTTTGCCCGTTTGCTCAGGCTGGAGTTTTTAAAATTTGCAGTGATGTCTCCTGGGAATTATTAAAATCACAAGTGGCAAATCGTGTTTTCCTCTTGACTCCCCCACCACCTAAAGCCAAAGCAACAGAGCGCCCTCACTGATACATGTCATGGTTTGCCTCTAAACGCTGTCTCACATGTGCAACCACAGGTTACATTTCAACACACCTTGAGTACATAACTTTTATTGTTCGCAGAAGGAGTCGAACACCGTATAGACTCTCCGCTGTCTTTCCCACAGGACAAATACAAACAAAAAGCTGTTTGAGAAGCCTTACAATACAGTTGTAAGCAAAAAATGATCTCTGCCTGTAGGCAATCACATTTAGTGTAATTAGACTTATGCAATTATAATCTACAGAAAAGTTACTATTAACATGATGCCCCCCGCAAGAGGTGGATAACAGCATAGAGAATACCCACTGTTGCATTTTCTGTGCCTGTCATCTCAGATCAAAGTAATAAACAGAAGCTGAAGCTGAAGTAATAGACAGAAGCAGAAGAAACAAAGGCAATACTGAGCATTTTTTGTAACAGCCTGTATTCATAATCCCAGAAAGGCATTCACACAAAATTCCTCCAGAATCTCTGCAAAAATGTGCATCGGACCTAAGGGTCCAACTCCCAGGGCATTCTGTCTGCTTCCCTGCCCAGGATTATTAGAAGAAAAGAATAGATCCAATTTCTTCTCCTATAAGCCTGATTGCAGTTATAATTTATAATTTTAAACTGTAGATAGATGTAGATTGCACATACATTATTTCACATCAAATACTGCAGCCTCCAGCCCCTCCTCTTGCCTGATGAATTCTGACTATGTAGAATATGAATAATCTTTGAGCTCTTCTGGAAATTAGAGGAAATGCCTGCGTTTGGCACAAGAGATGTGCATATGACATACTGAAAGATTGTTTTCCTATCATACCAAAGACACAGATAAATAACTGCATTATTCCTCTCCCCCTGTCACCAACCAAGAAAAAATAAAGATATTTCTTCAACATAAAAGAGCTCCAATATAAATAACCAATTGAGAGGGACCTTTATTCCCCTTATCCTGAAATATGTGTATATACATTGTGTGTATATAAACATAATTTTTATAATTTCATTGTCTTTCTCCCATCTTCTCTTTCATCCCACTGAAAGGATCTCTGAGCCCACCACAATAGCTATTCTTCCTATCAAGATGTGCATGAAAAAAGGTAGAAAGTGACAAGACCATTTTTATAAGGAATCCTATCTGTCCTAATTTGGAAGGAGGTAATAAAAGAACCTGGGCCACCTGTAGTCTTTGTTATTCTTAACAAAAAAAAACAAAACAAAAAAAACCCAAGTACTTGAGTTCAGAAGCTTCATGGGGCATAGTGCTGTAGCCTAAGAAATCTTTCAGAGAGGGATTTCCTACAGACATTTTCTGTTATGCAGTTTAGATATATTGTAGCAACGCAAACAGACTTTGAGACTTTGTACTGCAAACGCACAAGAGGAAAAACTCTTTTTATGTAGAGGTACTGTAACCAGACTTGCTAAGCTTCCCAAGATAGGAAAATTCATTTTATTTTTAATACTTTCAGGAAGTTAGATATCCTATAAATATATAGGAAGAATTAGTTCTGTCACAACGAAGTATTGAATCTGATTTTATAACTAAAAACCTGAAATATTGGGGTTTTTTTCAGATTTTTCCATTTTCTTTTACTTTCTCAGTTCTAGTACATAGAATAAGGCACCAGAACAGAACCTGACTCTTCTCAGGGAGAAGTTTTATTGAGAAAAAAATGTGTCATGAAAAAAATATTTCATCTTTGCTTGCATTTGCATGTCTGACAGAGGGCTCTGCAATTCGCGTACTATCAGCTGCGAATTCCTTTCACCTTGTTTGCTAGCAAACTCCTGGTTGTCATAAAACAAATGAGAGAGAGTTCTTAACTTGATGGGATGAAAAG